ATATATATATATATATATATATATATATATATATTACAGTATTTATTAGTCTTGGTTAATATACGTTAATAAAAATATTAATATTGTTAATTGCTTGTTATATAACTTTTTATCTAAAACAATGTAATGGTAAATATTGAAATTAACATAACTGACATATACTAAGATTATTAAATGCTGTAGAAGTATTATAGCTGATAATTTGTTAACTGATACAGTTAATATAGTTAACTAATGTTACCAAACATAACAAGACCTTATTGTACAGTGTTACAGATAAACATTAGAGTTTAGATATTTTATATCCCCTAGCATAACCCCACGTATTGTATTTGGCACTGATTATAATTTCAGCAATAACTATCAATTTGCTTTGTTTCATTTGAAAAAAAGACGATATTTGAAGTGATATCAGGTTGAAATGCCTGTAGTCTGATCATACCCAGATTTCTTCATTCCCACTATGACTAACGCACATACAGAGAGCGACAAAAATAGTAGTCTCATTTACACCCTCTTCCTCTCTGCCGGCTGCTCCTGAGAGGTGGAGAGGGAAACGGCAGTGAGGGAAATGGGTGTGAGGGCTGCAGCTCACAGCACAGGCTGGACTCAGGTCTGACGCAGGTTTAGAAGAGTGCTGACCTCCGCATTCCATCCAGCACACTCTCACCTCATTAATGTATACCAAGTTTAGTTGTGAAAGTCTTACTCCAGTGCTGTGTGGGGTTATTTTTACTCAAACACACTATAGGGAAGCAATTGTCATTTTTTTTGTTTATTTTATTCTTTTATTTTCGTGCCAATGTGCTTGCAGTCACCCCATAATATCATTGCTTTACCGTTCCATAATAATGAATAGTTTTCTCCTCTATATGGTGCTCATTCGTTTTGCTGTTTAAAAATGTTTAATTGCTAATTAATTGCTAATTTAATTAAAGTTAAATCCCTTTTAGTTTAATATATATATATATATATATATATATATATATATATTAATCAGATGACTAGAAAATACTTTATGGAAACTTTAATGCAATAATGTTCATTGCATAAAGACTCAGTTCTTAAATTCAGTCATACAGTTGATCTAGTGTATTTAGCCATTGTTTGTCATTAGCACAGTTGTTGCTACTTTTCTGTGCACATGAACACATTTTTATATAAATCTGATGATTCAACAGAAAAGCTATTGGGTCTTGAACTTTAAGCCTCATGTTTCTTACAATATGATGTGTTGTGTGAATGTTAATTTATTCTTAATCTACACTGTCTTTCAAAAGTTTGAGGTTGGTGGTAAGACTTTTTGTTTGTAAATGTTAAATACAGGAAAAACAGTAATATTTAAATATTATAATTAAAAAAAAACTCCTTTTCTATTTTAATCTTTCTAATGTTTATTTTGATGCTTAAGAACCATTATTTATTATCAATGTTAAAAACAGTGAAATTGCTGGTTCTCAACTGGTGTATCCAAACTAGTAACCAGTTTGAGCTCAGTTGTGGTATGCTTTTTGTTTTGCTGTCTATTCTCCGATATGATGTAACTTTTCTGAACTTTGTGTGCCAGCGGCACAATCAAAGTACCGTTATGTTGTAAAAAAACGTGTTTTGTGACTCAGAAGTCATGAAAGTGTTGATATCAAGCTCTATTATAGATGAACAGCATTGGCAGTTTTCACTTTAAGTGCTCAAGAAATTAAATTAGGCCACTATAAGCACTGATGGAAAAGGTTGAAGGAAGTGTTTTGCCACCACAATTGACTGTTTTCTTTGTGTTGATTTATTGCAGTGCAATAACCCAAAGACCAAAGAGCCCAAGTTAAGTGCAGCAGTGAGGATTGTTCCAGAATGGTCCAAGTACGACAATGAGATAAAGCAGTTTCTCAAACGGGTGAAGGAGGAGAAGGAGAAAATTACTCAGGGTAGAGCATCATCATCATCATCATCACCACAGCACACAGGTAAGACTTAGTCATCACTAAAATGACTTTTTTTTCTAGTAAGCCTTGTGTATAAAGCACAGTTCATAAACATCATCTGTATTTTAACAGGCACTCGACGTGATGAACTTTAGCACTTGAGTGCTCATGTTTGCACCTACAGTATCTTCCTGTGAATCTTGAACTCAACCATACAGAGATGTTTTCCACAACAAGAACACTGAGGAAATACACACAAGGAAACATTTTAAAGGACTTCATGACATTTTTTATGTATATGAATTTGAATGAAGGTTTAGTTTGAATGCTCTCTGACTTCAAGATGTAAACTGTATACATGACATAGCTTTTTATAAATAATTGTTGACAAAAAGATTTCAAACAATTGCAGCGTTATCTGATATGTTTGGCCAGTTTATGAAATTACAGTGGCACTGGTGTATATTTATAAGGGACAAACATGTCAATATTGTGTACATTCCTTCAGGTAAGATTATAGATGTTTATACTGTTTCAGTTCACTCCACATGGCCATCAAATTCCCATATTCATTGCTGTCAAAGTCAGCTCTGCAGATCCATTGGGATGCAGTCTCTGTATCCAAATTATTGAGACGGATCCTTTACATTCCGTTTTATTTATATTACATCATTGACTCTGTACACATTTGTTTCTATGCCTTGATGTTCAAAGATGTGGATTTTCTCAGGAATAAAGTGATTTTTATTCTGAAAGGGGGTACAAGTCTTTTATGATACACTGGGTGATTTAAATTCATTCATTTTAATGTTAGAAGCATTTGATTGCACAAATTTGTTTAATCAAACACAGCTATGCTCTTCAGTCATAGTAAAAACAGACCAAAAAGTCATTAAAGTTAAATTTAAATAAGCATTCATATCTCTTTATTTCCTTATTTACAGCATAGTTTGATTCACAGAAAAAATAGCATTGTTTTCTATGTACATATTATTCTTGGGAATGAAAAGGTCAGCGCTCACAGACTTTGCTTGATTATTAACCTTGCGCTCTGGATTGTAAGATCCCTGAAAGTATAGGAGCTGCTTTGAAGAATGACCGTTAGCAAACGGGATCACTTGATAGCGTGAGATAGGTGTTTGAAGGCAAGCCGTGCCTGTGGGCGGGTTCAGAAGGTGCCAGTTCCTATAGGCTGACTCCAGCACATATCCAGGCCCTAGGTCTATTCAGCCGAGCCTTAGTTGAAATTGAATTTGAAATTAAAAGGTCCAGAACCGAAAGGATTGAATCCCTGGAAGTTTTCCCAGCCACCGTGGAAGTGGTGGTGGTGATGCCCCCCACCCTGCTGACTCTCTGGATCCATGGGGTCCTCGCCCTGATCAAACTTACTCCTCATCTCTGCAGAGAAACAGAAGAACTAGACTAATTACCACAGAACATTAACCGAGCAACAACAGAGTGAAGCTACAAATGTGGCACTAAAATATACCTGGATCGGTGAGAACTTCTTTGGCTTGAGCGATGTCTATGAACTTCTTCTCTGCCTTTTTCTTTTCTTCTGCATCCTGGAAGTTGTCTGGATGCCACTGCTGCGCCAGCTTTCTGTATGCTTTCAGGATCTCTTTCTTTTGGGCGGTTCTGCAAGCACAGCAGTTTAATAAGAGTGTTTACTTACTTTAAAATAAGTATTAGGCCTCTGCATTGATTCACAGATGACACAGAGTTGTTGTGTGTATTATCTAACCTCTTTACACCCAGGATCTTGTAGTAATCTCTCTTCTGGGACTGTTTGAGGAGCCGCTGTGCTCTTTCCAGACCCTCCTTGATCTGCCGATCATTCTCACTATGTTCTTTAGCACTCTCAAAGTCCTTAATGGCTGCAAAAAGAACACAATTCGGTCACTTCACCTCATCATTTTAAGAGCAATCTTGAGGAAAAAGTATTAAAAGTAGTCAATTTCCTATGTATAAAACATCACCCAGTTATTAATAAAATATAAAAACTGGTTACAATGGTTCAAATTAAAAAATAAAAATAAAAATGTGTCCATATATCCAGATCTACCCTCTTCATACTGGTCATCCTGGAGGTAGGCCTCTGCTCTGTCTTTTAAAGCATTCACATTCTGAGGGTCTGCTTTCAGAACTTCACTGCACACTGAGATGGCTTTGGCAGTTTGTTGGTCCTGAGGAATAGGATCAAAACATAATCACTCACATCAGTTACGCGCAGATGCAGTGTATGCTTTGGTAGATAGCGACACCTTGTGGTCATGGAGCTCAGTCTCACCTTTGACAAACAGTGGCACATGCGTTCTTTGGCGTTAAGTATGAATTGAGGAACATTTGGTTCAGTCTTCATAACGGACTCATATTTACTAACTGCATCGCTGTACCTGGGGATTTAGTAAAACAATCATTTAGTTTCTTTAGATTGTCAATGAGTGTACATTCACTTGAATGGGTTTCAATCAAATTTATCATAAGTGGCAGTAAAGAATATTCTATTTCAAATAAAAACTGTTCTTTTAAACTGCATTTTTTAATTTATTGAAGAATCCTGGAAAAGAATCCTCAAGTGCAAATTCTGAAGAATTATGTGACACTGAAGACTGAAATGGCTGCTGTAAATTCATCTTTGCCATCACAGGAATAAGTTACACTTTAAAATATATTAAAATAGAATATAGTTATTTTAAAGTGTAAAAATATTTAATAATATTACTGTTTTTACTGTATTTTTAATTAAATAAATGCAGCCTTGAGCATAAAAGACTCATTTCAAAAATTGTAAAAGTTTAATAAATTACAGACCTCAAACTTTTGAATGATAGTGTGTATGTACTATTTCTTTAGTTAATTATATTCAAATGAATTAATAAATTAATGAAAATGTATTTTATTTTATATATTTAGGGTATCCTGGAATCCCTGTGACCCTGCATAGGACAAGTTTGAAAAATGGATGGATGTGTTATATTATATGGAAATATAAAACAAAAACAAAAAATAAACATTCCTAAAAAATAACTAAAATAAGAAAAATAATCTAGATCACAATATTATTATTAGAATTATTATTAATGTTATATTCTTTCAAATGTTGTTGTTGTTTTTTTTACAAAATATAGCAACATTGGGACATACATTTGCTGCTGGATCAGTTCCTCAGCAGCTTGTATCTGTTTGTTGAGCTTCTTAACTTGCTTGTAGTGGCTGAAGCACTGCTTATGATCCGGGTCCAGTTTCAGACACTCCCTCACCTCACTGCAAAAAACCACACACACTATTAAGCATGGGTCCAGCTGCTAAACGTTTATTACAAATTCAAAATAACCAGACTGAAAACTGGATGCCACTCACTTTGGACATGCAGCATACTTGTACATTTATCTTTGCATACATTGCATTTCATTTCACATACTATTATTAAAACATAGTAGGCAATATAGGTTAAGGTCTATATTGTGCAATACGCTAGTAGGCTTAGAATGCTTTTGTAGCATACATGAACTCCAAACTCCCAGAACTAAAGCATTAATAACTACATGTTGTCTTACTTGAGGGACATCTCATGGTCTCCCAGGTTGTAATAGATGGTGCTGAGCTTGTAGAAAGCCTGAGTGTTGTCACTTTTTAGTTTTGAAGCAGCCTTGAGGTCACTGATGGCTTTGCCCATTTCACCCAACTGAACGAAACACTCTGCCCGCATCTCTCTGGAGTCCGCATCCCAAACACACGTCTGAAAAGATGACAAGCAAATAAAAAGGACTTGACAAATCTTGTTTTTTTATAATATTTATAATAATAATACCTTGCTATTGGCAGTTAATATGATATTTGTTCTGTTTACAGTTCCTCCAAAGCAAACATGATGACATTACTGAACAAAGAGTGCCCTTATTGAGCACAGGACAAAAGCACCTGGATCACCTACAGGAAACAGGAACCTCTTGAAGGTCAATTTAAACTTTTGAGTTACTAAAGTAGGGACATAAATTAAGGTCAATGTTATTTTAGTATCATTGCTATACTATTATAGATAGTATTGATATTTCTAATTAGATTCTATTTTTACATGTTCTATTTTTTTATTGTTATTTACAGAATATAGCAGTTTTGGGACATACTTCTTTGGATCAGTTTTTCAGCAGTCTGTGGTGAGCTTTCAAAAGTTTGTTACTTTAATAGTCATTGATGTACTATTATAGCTTCTGTTAATATTTCAAACAAGATTGTATTTTTTATATTTTCCGTTTTCACTTTCATTTTAATTGAAGTTTTAGTAATTTTGTTGTTTTTTTTATTTTTTAGTAGCTTTTGATGTTTTTTGAAATATGCATATATAGTTTTTCTTACTTTTTATTTATTTGTTTTAGTTATTTCGTTTTTTATGTTTTACGTAAGTTTAAGTTTTTCAGAAAACAAAGATACGTTGTTTTCTTGGCTATAGTTCTAGGTTTAGTTAATGATAATAACCCTGATCCAGGTTAACTCACATCAATGATAATGTCGAGGTGCGATACAGCAGAGCCGTAGTCTCTGCGGGTGAAATCGCTCTGTGCCTGGCCCACCAGTCTCTGAATTTCATCAGATTTCTTCAGCTGGCTCTGTGCCTCCTGCTCTTCCCTGCTGCTTGGGTTTGATTTGAGCTAAAAGACAAAAAAAATGTGTCACACTTAAGAAAATGAACAGAAAGCAAGTGTCAAAACAGCAGAACAGTTCAATTGTGCACGTTAAACGAAGCCTTTGGGGTAATGACAGGAAATATACCCCACTGACTCACCCAACTAAGAATACTCTGGAGAAGGATGAGGGCACTTCAGAGAGACTTAATTAAATATTGTTTCCTCATAGGTATTACAATTGAAATGTTCATGTGATATAGAATGTACTGTCATTTTCTTCAGAAGATTTATGTGGACATGATAACTAGGTGTGCACTGATCAGAAAATACCATACAGTTGCCAATACCAACAGCCTGTATTTTAGCATTATGTTCAACCGATACTAAAATATTTATTTTTAAAGAACCACTTTTATGGCAGTTTTAATATTAAACCATATGCTACAGAAAAATGGACTATACAGTAAAATTACAGAAATCAATTCACATTCGGGTGTTATTACAACCGACCAGTTAAAGATGGCAGGTAATGATCAACCGGTGTCCAACTGGTGCATCCCTAATGCTAATCAAATGCCACGCACCACTTTTTTGAAATCCCTTTCTGCTTCATCAAGTTTGCCGTGTTTCAGCAGTAGGTTTCCTCTCTGAAGCCTCGCCTGTGGATTAAGACGAAACACTGGTTAAACAGGTTTTGGTAAATCATATAAAAATGTTGTACATATTTTACAGTGTGAATTGATTCTGAGAACCCACCGATGTGAAGTCCGGTTTAAGTTCGATGACTTTGCTCAGGTCTGGTAATGCAGATTTTGACTTTCCCATGGCAAGGTACACAGTTGCTCTCCTATAGTACGCCATGTAGTTTTTGGGGTCACCATCTGACAATTAAAAAAAATAATAATATTTAAATTAAATTAATTTATTAATTTAAAAAAAAAAAAGAGTATGTGGTATATATATATATATATATATATAATTTATTTTATATGATTAAATCTAGACACGTTGCTTACATCGAAACTGCACTGTGTGGAAAAGAATGCATTACACACAAGATTTCATTTAAGTTCTCATGTAAAAAGATCCAGTACTCACCAACAGCAGCGTGGAAGTGAGAGAGAGCATCTGCCAGCTGTCCAGCAGCCAGAAGCTTCTTCCCCATCTCCAGATGATTCTCAACACCACCATCCTTCCCTCCATTAACCCCTGCAATACACGTGAAAGGCAAATACGTTTTAATCTAGATGAACCACATAGCACAATAAGGTACACATGCAATACCTGAATCATGTGTTCAGTAGTAGCAGTATAGCACACTGGAGTAGTGCACATTAGTGTACAGTTAGTATGGCAATAGCATAGTATGCCTCAAACGTGTCCACTAGCGTCGAGCAGAGTACAATAGAGTCAGGAAGACTAGATTAGCAAACATTTTAGTGAAGTGAAACAGTGACAGACAACATACATTGTTGCAATGGAATCACAGTATTCCTGCTATAGACAAAATATATGCTATAGACAAAATAACATCACAAAAACTAAATAAAAAAACATAATTAACGTTTAAAGCATGCTTGACAGGTAACTAGATCCTCAGCAGCGTGTTTCTGGACTATTTTAACAGTTCTCCATATGTAGTTCATGAGTAACGTGTAGACATCTAAACAGCTGGGATTTTTCATCTCTCACTGACTTTCTTTGAGTTAATTTATAAAAACAAAGTCACTTTCTCTAAATAACTGCCATGAAGATGAACATATACAAAACTGGTTAAAAATCATTTCTTAAACAATAGAACTGACCACTTACCTTCGTATCGAAGATCGATCAAAACTAGTAAAAAAGGAACGTAGTTTAGTAGTTTGTGCGCCACCGGGCTTATGGCAACCATGTTTACTTTTCTTTCCTCCGTCAAATCACTGAATTAACGTTTAAAGTTCCTATAGACACACTGGACATTCGCATAGCTGTCGGGCCAGTGGACATCATGCCCACTGGTCGTGGGGCACTCTGATTGGCTGATATTTCTCTAAACCCCGCCCATCGCGCCCTGTTAAACGAAGGCTAGCCACGGCATCATTATTTTGGTTCTGTTTGCGCATGCGCGGCAGTGAGCGTGCACACTGGTGGAGGGGGGAGTTAAGACGTGTGACATCTATACGAAATTTATATTTATTATGTAGAACTGTATTTTTCGACTTTGTCAGAGGATTTTTTTTGCCGTCTGTAACTGGCTACATTTACGCACGTCTTCTCAGCATGATTCTTGAGATAAACTGTGGCAGAAAAGGGCTAAATTTCTCTTCTACATATTTTCTACCGTTCAGCCAGCTGTAGCAGTGCTTCCAAGCCTGAGGAACTCATGTGATGTTGCATGTGTCATGTAAACATGTATTTTGTCTGGGCTCCGTATTTCCAAAATAATGAGACACTTGAAGACATTATCTTATCAACAAAAAAAAAAAACTTTTTTTTTTTTAGAGAAAATCAGGAAGAATCTTCGTTGTTGATGTAGTTTTCTCAAAGAGAAATCAAATACAAAGAGGCAAGCACACTATGTATGCAGCAAAAGAAGACAGCATTGCTGAAGTGATAACTGGTCAAATGCATAATTTATTTATGTTTGTAACCGAAATGTAATGGCAGTGTTTCATCAGTCTCATCATGCCATTACTTGACTGAAAAAACACTTTCCCTTTTATGTGAAGTGATTCATGCTATAAAAGGATGATAACCATGAACTGTTCACATACACCATCATCTTGTGATCAGTAACATCATCAGTCCTATAAGAGGATTCAGAGTCTAAGCTATTTGTTGCACTCTGAAATCACTGGTATTGTTTGTGGTCCTTTTTCAGAGCTTATCAAAACATATTGCTTAAATATTTTGACCATCTTTGTGGAGATTACCACAAAAGCATTTCCAGTTTAATTATTTAGAGTCTTGTAATTGAAATAAACTACTCTCTAAAGTGACGTTTTGCTAGTTTATTTAGACTTGATCAACTGATGTGCAGCATCTTCAATGGTTTGAGTGGATCTGCAGTCTGATTCCAGGTAAGAACATGTCCAGCTCATATGTGAATTTTCACTTGAATTAACAAGGCTTGTATTAAACAACTGCATGATATTATCTGACACCATCAGTCAGAAATGAATCAGCGTGATTTTTTGTGTTTCTTTTCATAGTAAAATGTATTATTATTATTTCAGTGCCGACTGTCGAGACTTTGTGTGACCACGACACAATTCAACATCGCCGGCTCTGTGTACTCTAGAGCAGAGCATGCAGAATCAGTGTTTATCTGGATTTTATGTATCTCTGAGATTCCAGTCGTCCTCTTGACCCTGTTTGCATTGTGTTTTCTCATCAAGTCTAATCGTGCTGCTTCAGTTTATGTGATTCTTTCATATCTGTTACAGATCATTTTTGTGTTGATATCAACAACCCAATGGGAATCTAGAGAATCAAAGAGTGCATATAAGTATTGCTTGATTGTGGGTCTGCATTTCATGGCATGTATTGCTATTGAAAGATACCTTTTGGTTTCTGATCCTATCTGGTACAGAACTCACCGTTCAGTCAAATTCTCCTGTTTTATTTGTTTCATCATCTGGTTAATGCCTCTGATCTTTGCAGGGATAAAAACAATTCTCTAAAATTTCATGGCCTGTCCTAATGTCTAGCGTATTTTATCCCTAATCCTCCTGTGTTTTGTTGGTACTTGGAAGGGCCTCTCTCACTCAACATGGCAGTCTTTCTCTTGTGCTGCTGAATTACACCTTTCTCATTCTCCCCAATGCAATTAAGGTTTTTATTAAATTCTTTGGATTTTCTGTAAGCCAAAGAATTTCCAACTTTTTTACTGTCTCTGGTATCTAAACCCATTTGTTGACTGTTTATTGTACTTGTTCATGAGAAGTGATGTTGATGATATACTGGCATATACTGCTGTAGTGGCTCTGACAGACATCATACAGCACAACGCAACCAGTACCAGCACTCATCATCATAATGTGCAGTAACTAACAAGTCAAGCCATTTTTATTTATATACAGTAGTGCTGTATTAGCAGCTTCAGTATTAATAGTACCAAAGCAGCACTAAAAAGACAAAAGTGTCATTATTCAGCTCAGTTTAGTTCACTTAATTCACATGTTCAGTGTCAATGTTGCAAAGTTTGTCAGCAATGAAACTCCAACTAAAGCATCTGTACAGAAAACAATAGTGCCATTATTCAGCTCAAGTCAATTCAGTTCAGTAAAAGTTCAAAGTTACGAAACAAACAGGTGTGCAAAGTGTTTTCTGATAACCTTACAGCATCACAGTGTTTCCTTTAAGACTTATAAATAAATCATCTTTCTGAAAATTGCATGAAAATGTGAAGAGGAAGCAGATAAGTATGTTTTCAGGGATGTCCTGCAAAATTAAAGAGCTCAATGAATGAAATAAAATGTAATAGGAATCATTGTCTCAAGCATTATACCGGACAAATAAATAAATCTCTAATTTCACATATAAATGCGAATAATGGCCCAAAGATGTTGACACTGCTCATTTAATCCATCAGTTACAAGCCTTTGCACTCGTATCAGGGGAAATAGTTTAAAGGTTGTTCGAATAGCTCAAATCATGTGCTAATAAGAAGGTGTAGCAGATGCAAAGAAAAGGTGAAATACTCATAAAGGGGTACAGTAAACCCTTTCATAGACCTCTGTATGTGACCTTCTGACCATTTTATCCAACATGTCCTCCAACCAATACGCCCGCATAGGTCGTTTGTCCAAATCCCTGAAATACGACCCATCAGAGCGTATTCTACAATTGCACCATAATTCGGGTTTCGTATAGCTCGGTTGGTAGAGCATCGCGTTATACGACAATATGCAATCATGGGTTCGATCCCAGAAAACGCACGTGCTCATAAAATGTATATGCACTGTAGGCCTAAATCACGATTTTGCATGATTTCTGTGAGGGTAGGTTTAGGGGCGGGGTTAGGTGTGGTCATTCGTACGAATTCGTATGAATTAGCCACCTAGTAAAATATGTACAGATTGCCGTGAGATCGGCTTGGACCATGTAAATAGTCCACAAATTGCATTTAAATAAACAAGCATTTTGATTGGTAATGACAGTCATACGTCATTTCATGACGACAGACGCAACACGACACTAGCTTATGGAAGGCGGACGGGGCCAAATGGCTTTACACGGGACGCGTGAAATGTGACCGTAAAAACACGCACAATTTGCCCGCGTTAACGCGGCAATTTTGAACGCGTTTCTTTTGTACGTGTAGACACGCACGTTTTGGCCGCGTTAAGGCGTCAGTTTTTGCCGCGTTTATTTGGTACGTGTAGACACGCACAGTTTGACACTACTTAAATTAACTAAAATTATTTCTAAATTTGGAAAGTAATTTGAAAAAAAAAAATGCTTTTACTTGTTTTATTTTGTTCAATGTTTGAGGAGCTGCAGCGTACGTACAACAGACATCTGTTAGAGAGAAAAAAGGAGGAGGATATTAAAAACAACGTTTATCCGTTTTTACCGAGGCGATTTAAGGTAAGTTGTAAACACCACATCTGTGATCGTGTGTACATCTGCCGGCGCCGGCATTTTTTAAAATTAACAACGGTTGTTTATGGCGACGCAAAGAATTGTGGGTTATCTGTAGCAGCGAAGGATACACCTCATGCATCCTCCGAATTCCTGTGAAAGAAGGTCGCATTCGGAGTGTCCTACTTGCTTTTCTGAAATGAGACAGTCTCGATGACGTATGCAGCCTTCGAATGCGACCTCCGGAGGGCGCAGCCTTCTACATGAGACACAGCAACTGTCATTATTTTTACGCCCGCTAGAGGGCACTAAACTTTAAAACGTAAATATACTGTAGGTCGTAATAAGGTGCTTGCACAAACGACCTATAGGGTCGTTTTTCTGATTTTATCACCATAACTTGATTATGTGCTGTTATTGTATATGTCTATTGCACCCATATTGATTTTTTTTTTTACTAATGCTGAGCAATATAATGCGAACTACAGGTGTGCAATGTGAGTAAGCACTTTCTTTATTTGATGTGATTGTAGAAATGTCAAAATACTGATGTATAAATCTTTCTGAATTATCTGTGGGATATCTAAAATCCACACAGTATGAACACATTGTTTACATATTCTCATTGTTAGCCGATACATTTCTGGTGGAAACAGATTTATACATTTAGTATAATATTTCTGCAATTGGTCAGTTTATATGTAGGCTATACTGTAGGATGAATTCAGGTAAAGATTTTACTGTGCTCAGCTGGTTTACACTTTTAGAGCATGACAATAGTCTTTAATTAAAGATGGCATATTTATTTAAATGATAAAATAATTTTGGTTGATGTACTTTATACTGTATAATCTATGTATAAAATCTTGTTGATTAAAAAACAAGTTCATGGACATGTTATGTGCCAGTTGTTTCTATGCTGCATAATAGAAGAATGTAAGGGATATTGTTTCTTGAATGGGGTTTAGAAGTGAATAGCACACTATAGGGGTGGGCCTGAAAAGAAACCGAATTACAGGTTTACCCACTTAAAGTCTCAACTGTTCAAAATTTGCATTTTTTTCTATGAGGCTGGGGCCCACAAGGAGACCTCCACTAACTTCCAAGGAGTCCACATGATGACTTAAAATGTATTTGTTTGTGTGTGTGTTTTTGGTAAATTAAACAAACAAAATAAAAAATAATGTATATTCAAAAATGTTTTATTGATAATGTTTCTAATGAACATGCAGTGTTTCCCCTGCCATTATTTTAGGGGGGCGGCCCGCCCCCCCCACGGCACCCCCCCCCCCCCTTGAAGGTCAAGTTAATTTTAAAACCTTATTTTTAAGGAATAAGCATTCAATATTTCTTCAATGTTTTAATTGTAATATTAAATGACCTTTATTTTCCAAAAAATAAAATTTGTTTAATTTTCATTACTTAAAAGA